AGCCAGATAATCACATGGACAAACATGTTCTCTGGTGACAAAGCTGTGGTAGGAAAGTGGCCTGTAGAAAGCCTAGTTGCAATACAAGCTTAACCTTACTGTCTGCTCAAAGAACACGTTCTTAATTTAGTTTTAATGAGTTTTACGGTTCTTGCAACTCAGTTAGGTTATATACGTGCCGAAGACTACATGTGTTACAAGAGTAACAAATACAAAAAAGGAGGAGGAAAGATAAATAATAGACGTTACTTAGAAAAAGGAACAAACCACACCAGAGCACCCACCAACCACCGGCAGAACATATGTGAATGCTGGATGTTTGATAAATATTTAGCAAAAGTTTTGAGGCAATGGTTAAACACAAGAAGCATAAAAACATTTAAGGCTCTGTCCAGTGGGGCACACTTTCCTTAATTCTAAAAGAATTACAGTTGAACTCTAGCAAACTGAGTATATTTCTCCATACATGAGCACAAAGGAAACACAAACACAAGATAAACTTAAAGTAATGTATTGTAAAAATCAAAACCATCCAACTCACATCACAGTCCAGACACTGTACATGGAATTGTTTAACGCACTGCCCGCCTGTTGTCACCCAAACTTTGTATCCTTTTAGATTGCCGTTAGGTTCTGACGGCCTTCGCCAGCTCACCACAACGCCAGTAGCAGTGACTGAAGAACTGCTTAAAGCACTAACGGGACCTGGTTCTGTGAACAAGACAAAGATATAACAGCTCAAAGCATGCTGTGAATACGCTTTCAATAAATGTTTCTTCGGATTCTTCAAGCAACTGAAACTATAGCGGAAATTATCAAAGTCGCCCATCCGTTATCGAGGAGAAAAATGGTTGTCTGAGACAGGTGGATGTCTTACACTGTGTCAAGGTACTGACAAAAAACACAAGGAGGTTGTGAGTGGGTGGGAAGAGGCTGTTTGTACAGGTGGTTGTCTTATACATGTGGCCGTTTGTACAGTTGATTGTCTCATACAGGTGGCCGTTTCAGAAAGTTCGACTGTATTGTCTAGGTATTCCACTTTGTACGGAGAAAAGTAAAACAAAAAACATGCGGAGGAAAAGTGGTACGGCCAAGTACATTTACAAAGGAAGAAAGAAGATAGAAGTCTTTCAATACAAGGATAAAATACATTTGACTGTAAGCTCGAACATTTTATTTTGTCAACATTTTGGCCAGTAAAGTTAGAACACCTGGCCAACGAAAAAGGCTTCGCGCATAACCAAATATCATGGGCGCCAGTCTTGAGTGAGCAAAGCTAACAAGAAGAGGTGACTGAAGTTCTCTCAACCGTACTACAGGATTGGGGGTCCCCTATCATCGACAGATGACAGCGACACGGCAATAAAGACTTACACAAGGTAGGTCTAAATCTTATATTGGTGACCCTGCGCTGAACAAGTGCTGATCTGGAGCTGCACGGTTTCAAAGATCTAGAATCTAGCCAATTTCCCCCTCCTAATACAAGCGATCTTCTGACTTTCGTCACGGTCACTCCACGCCTTTACGCAACTCGTGTTCATACAACTCGCATTTTCATTCTTAGTCTCATATCCCTAGATCTAGATCCAAAGATACAGATCTAGATAGATCTAGACGAATTCTCAAGGTCTGACCTTGGTTTTCTCAAACTCCAATCATTGCAAATCATCATCTAGATTAGTCAACATAGTTTATTTCTTGTGATGATGGCCGAAGAAAAAGTTTGAGCAGTCTCCCTCAAATTGCCTGAATTCTGGATTAAGTCTCCGGAGGTGTGGTTTGCTAGTGTAGAAGCACAATTCGGAACCAAAGGAATCGTCTAAAACCCCCAAAAATATGACTATGTAGTCAGTTCCTTAGATGCAGAGACGGCTGGTGAAATCTCGGCTGTGCACCTTTCCCCACCATTACATGAGAAATACGGTACCATCAAAAAGTGCCTAATAAAAACTTTTGAAAAAACTCAAGCTCAGAAGGATGCAGAACTCTTAAATCTGAACGGTCTTGGAGATAAAAGACCAACAGCACTACTGAGGAGAATAAATGCCTTGAATGATGACCCAAACACTCTCAAAAGAGCCCTTTTTCTTGCAAACCTCCCAACTGAAATGCGCACAATACTGGCTGCACAGAACATTACTCGACTAGAAGAGCTTGCAGATGTTACAGATCACATTCGGGAAGCCAAATCAGCAGCACCTCAAATCGCAGGAGTATCTAAACAGGCTCAAGAAGTGTTGACAGAGCAGGAAACTGGCGTGCCCAGTGCAGACGAGGCTCTCAGAAAAGGACGCTACAGTCATCACAAACCCAAAACAAACACTGTAGACCTATGTTTCTATCACTTCAGGTTTGGCCCAGCAGCTCAGCGTTGCCAACCAGGGTGCAAATTTTCGTCGCTGGTCATGAAGTCAGACAAACCAAAGGCAAAGTCGGGAAACGGTCCAGTTGGCTGTTAGGCCAGGCAGCAGTCGACTCACAGCAAGGTATTACTCTATCCATAGCAGACCTGAACACTGGCACATTTTTCTCATAGACACAGGAGCTGAAATTTCTGTTTTTCCCTCATCGAAGGAAGACCGTATTCAGCATAAGGTGTCAGTCTCCCTCTCGCAGTCAATGATACATCAATACAGACCTGGGGTACACGTGAGCTTACTTTAGACTTCGGAAATAAACAAAGATACTCTCAGAGATTTTATCTCGCCGATGTAAACAGCCCAATCTTGGGTGCAGACTTCATAATCAACAATGGCTTGGTAATTGATCTAAAAGGAAAGCGCCTACTCTCTCCAAACAAAGCTTCAGTCTTGATGACATCCTCCAACAGCTCAATTCCAGTCTCTGACCTATCAGCTACGCCTCACAACAAGTACTCAGAACTACTTCTCAAAAGGTTTCCAGACATTCTTACACCAAACTTTGACTCCAAGACAAACATGGAGTTGAGTACCTCATCATTACTACTGGACCACCGGTACACTCTCACGCTCGACGACTGGACTCTGAGAAACTGGAGACAGTTAAAGCTGAGTTTCTGAAAATGGAAGAAATGAGTATTATACGACGATCAAAATCCTCATGGTCTTCACCTCCTCTGCACATTGGAGGCCTTGTGGATATTACAGGCACGCCAATAACGCAACAGTTGGAGACAGATACCCTTTGCCGCATATTCAGGATTTTAACAGCAAACTTACAGGATGCACTGTCTTCTCAAAGATTGACTTAGTCAGAGGTTACCATCAAATCCCAATGCAAACTAACTCAACTACCAAGACAGCAATCATAACACCTTTTGGGCTCTGGGAGTTCGTAAGAAAGCCTTTCGGGCTGAAAAAATGCTACAAAACTTTTCAGAGGCTAATGGATGGTGTCCTTAGGAATGTGCCTTGTACGTCCGTCTATATTGATGATATTTTGCTTGCTAGTCGTTCTCCCGAAGAACATGTTCAGCACATAGAGCAACTCTTTCAAACACTCAAAGACAACGGTCTTGCTATCAGCAAGTCTAAGTGTATTTTTGGATTCCCTGAATTGGATTTTCTGGGTCATTGTGTAACCAAAAAGGAATTCTACCTCTTCCCAATAGCATTCAGGCTCTTAAGGACTGTGATACACCCACAGACATGGCTGGTTTGCATCGTTTTCTTGGTATGCTCAACTACTACCACAGATTCCTTCCTCAGATAGCTTCAGTTCTTGCTCCACTTCACTAACAAGCAAGTGGAAAAGGACAACAAATATAATGGTCAGTTGAATGTCAGGAGGCTTTTGACAAAGCCAAGACTGCTTTGGGAAACGCTATCCTAATACATCATCCTCAATCTGATGCTCCAACTGGCCTCACTGTTAACGCTTCAGACAAAGGAATAGGGACAACACTCGAGCAGCGTCAAGGACGGGTTTGGGTCCCTCTCGCTTTTTTTTCAAGAAAATTGTCTGAGGCGGAGAAGAAATACAATGCTTTCGATAAAGAGCTCCAGGTGGAATACGGTGCAATCAAACACTTTAAGTATTTCCTGGAGGGAAGAAAATTCACACTTTACACGGAACACAAACCACTGACATCAGCTATACAGTCGATGGCTGATCGATCTCCATGACAGACCAGGCATTTATCGTTTATTGCTGAATTCACATCTGACATTCAACATGTGAAAGGAAGATTCAATTTACCGGCAGACGCCTTGTCTTGAGTTCACAGCATTCACTACTCTGTCAACGCCATATCTCCAGAGGAGCTATCCAAACAGAATCTTGATGAATTGGCAAAAGGTCAATTGTACTCGGAAGAGATTAACCTTTATTTCACTCAGGAAACTGGATTGGAACTGAGATTTCTCAACATTGAAGATACAAAGATATGGTGTGATGTGTCAACTGGAAAAATTAGACCTGTGCTACCATCGCCCTGGACGAGGAAGATCTTTGACAGTATCCATGGTCTTTCACATGGAGGACCAAAGCCCACTCAGGAAGCAATCTCCCGACGCTTTGTTTGGAAAGACATGAAACGCCAAATACGAACATGGTGCAGGGAATGTCATGCTTGTCAATTATCAAAGATAAACAGACACACAAGAGCCCCACTGTCGGAACAATGTCCGCCTGCGCACAGATTCAGGAGTCTTCATGTAGATCTCGCAGGCCCACTACCTGCAAGCAACGATATGATTTACTTATTGACAATCATTGACAGGTTCACAAAGTGGCCTGACGCTATCCCACTTCCAGACTTTAAAGCATCTACCTGAGCTTCAGCAATCCTCCATCACTGGATTTCAAGGTTTGGAATTTCACACGATATCACCTCTGACCGAGAACCACAGTTTACATCCAGACTTTGGAATGAATTCAAAAAGTTGTTAGGGGCTCAGACCCACAACACAACAGCTTATCATCCTCAAGCGAATGATCTTCGAGGTGGAACGTTTCCACCGGCAGCTCAAAGCAGCTCTCAAGGCACGTACTTCCGGACCCAACTGGTTTGATGAATTATCTTTGGTACTCTTGGGAATAAGCTCCTCATGGAGAGCCAACCCAGGTTGTTCACCGGCTGAGCTATTATAAGGAACTAACCTGAGGCTACCCGGAGACATTTTCCTGGCAGTAGAAGACAGGACAATTGAACCAGATGCTACCTGTCTCAGAAAACTTCAAAACACCATGCGCAGTTCGAACCATCGTCAACGTCATGTGTCAGCACTCCCACATCTTTCATACCCAACGATTTGTTTTCCACTGGCTACGCTTATGTGAGACATGACGCACATCCTCTACAAAGACCATAAGATGGCCCCTACAAGATTTTTGAAAAACATGAAAATCACTTTCTTCTGGACATTAATAGACGCCAAGATAGAGTTTCAATTGACCTACTTCAACCACTAGGCCAGGGCGCAAAGGTTGGATTTTTAAACTTCATATCATTCCGTTCCTGGTGTTTTTCTTCGTATTACCAGGAACCTCACTGGGAGGGGGGTTATGCTGGATCGAACATTTTGTTTTGTCAACATTTTGGCCAATAAACGTTAGAGCACCTGGCCAACGAAAAAGGCATCGCGCATGACCAAATAGCACGGGCGCCAGTCTTATGCGAGAGAAGCTAACAAGAAGACGTGACTGAAGTTATCTCAACCGGACTACAGGATTGGGGGCCCCCTATCACCGACAGATGACAAAGACACGGCAATAGAGACTAACACAAGGTAGGCTTAAATCTTACATAACAATTCTATCAGAAATTTGATTTACTTAATGAAAAAACAATTTAAGCTATGCAATTTTTGCACAAAACTCAACTCACTATATCTGCATGTGGCTCTGAGAAAACCCATAACATGGTGTATGGTGATAACTTTCAAAACTGAATTTATGATTAGCATACGTTTAAAAAAAAATATTCTTGAGCATTTTCCTCTTTAGTTGGGTACAATTGACGCTTTCTGGAAACGTTATGGCAGCTCCAAACATACAACAGTCCTAAGGATTTTACCTGAAAGGTCATTCACTTCCTTTTCTTTTAGAATTCTCCATAAGGGGGTGTCTATGAAAGTTAGTGTCCGCCCCAAGGAGCAAACACCAGTCAAGATTGTTTCAGAAACTAAAAAAACAAAAAAACTGACCTGCTTTGAGTCTCAACAAACTGCACATCATAACAAAAACACATATCAACAACATGACTTACCCGCAGCTGTTGTCCTAAAATTTCCTGTCCTTGGGACACTGAATTCATTGATGCCGTTATAGGCTTTAATTGTATAGCCATAGAAAGTACTTGCGACCAGTTTGTCAAAGACCGCTGTCTCGCTAGTCACACTTTTGCTTTCAACTATTGACCCTTGCCGTGTCACTACCACGAAATAACTAGCGACACAGCCATCAGAAGGTCCAAACTTGAGGGCAGTACGCGGCACTGAGAGGGTACTACTTCCAGGTATCACTGCTCCAGGCTGGGCAGGCTCTGAAAACAGACACGTCACGAGGTGTCAAGACAACATGACTTCCATTTACAGGTGCCACAGAACAAAATGTTACCTGTGTCACACACGACATACTGCAGCAACAGCATTGTGAACATTTCTGACATTTGTTCAAAACACGACAGAGTGGGATATCATCAAGAGGTGTTCAAAAAACTTTTCTGTCTCCATTTCCCCCAACTATATCCTCACCAATGTCTTCCCCATGAGTGTTGTGTTTACCAGAGAGCAATGAGACTTGACGTGTTTTTGACACTGGGGAATACTAGTGCTTGGTGCCCACATAAACATCTATCTGTCCCAACTACCACAGCCCAGATGTCCACATGTATATATGAAGCAATCTGACAACCTACTGGAAGTTGACATTGTTTTAGAATGACATTGAGTCAACCAGGATAGATTGTAAAGATCATAGAGCTAGCTTTTGAACAGAAATTAGTGCCATACAAATGCGATTCCTCTTCTTTTTCTTATTACTCTCTTGCAATTTTTTTTCTCAATGAAATACCACAAACATCTGTGGCTAAGTGCAGTGGAAGTATTGATTGAAATATGTATTTTGTTTACCTAGTCCACTCACAAAAATTCAATTTGAGATCAGAAAATTAGTGTTTCCTTTACATTTAAGGGAACAAATTACAGCTGCATGTTAATTTACCGTAAAGTAGACATTGAAAAATAAATACTTCAGAAATCTAAGAATTGACAGCATTGCCCCAAACACCCTTGGCAACGCCTTGAATGCTGGCAATTGAGCAACAGTATGAACCAAATCTCCAACACTACCTTGCGGATATCCATATAAGGCTCTAACTCTACTCACTGTCAAAGCGTTACATACATTTTTTTAGTTTACTTAAGAGTGTTACGGAATTCACAACACAGTTAGGTCATACAAGTGCCGAAGATTAGAGGTTTTACTAAATAGTAGCATATAAAAAGAAGGAGGAGGAGATATAAGGATGGTAGAAACTAGATATTTGATATAGGAAAGAAGGAACAAACCACACCAGAGCACCTACCAACCACCCACCAGAAAGGACTAACACACAAAGTTGGTGTCTGACTTCCAAAATTAAAATACTACTACAGAAAAACAAAACTAATAATAATATAGAGAACTGCCTGAGACAACACTTCTAAACATTTGGTCACTGGGGCGTGTCCTTGAACAAGACATGAAATCCATTACAGCAGAGTGACATTATGTATCATGTGACCTGTTGTTACTAATTAAATAAATATATAATATTTGTGCCATTATATACCATGTGACCAGTTGTTACAAAAAAATAAATACGTAATATGTGTGACATTATGTATCCCGTGATCTGTTAAATGAATATGTAATATGTGTGACATTATGTGACCTGTTGTTACTAATTAGATAAATATATAATATGTGTGACATTATGTATCATGTGACCCGTTGTTACTTGATATCATTGTTTATCCAGTAGCCTTTGAGACGGTGCCCTTCGGCTCATTGAAACTAGTTAAATCAGTATGTACTTTCTTTCGTATAACATTATGTATCATGTGATCTGTTATAACTAGTTACAACAGATCACATGATACATAATGTTTTACAAAGTACATACTGATTTAACTAGTTACAACAGATCACATGATACATAATATGTCACATAAGTGTCAAAGAATAGAGGTGTTACTAAAGAGTAACACACAGAGAAAAGAAGAAGGAAATATAAGAACAATACATGCTTAACAAGAAAGAAGGAGCAAACCACACGAGTACAGCTATCAACCATCCACCATGAATTAATTATTCAAGAAAACTTGTCCAAACTCAATGTTTTGCTCATCCTTCTTTACAAGTCTCACATTGAGTTGCATTCATCATTCCTTTCTCCCAGATTGGGACTACTTTAAGATAAGGAACATTTTCTCCTGTGTATCGAGTAAGACTTTCTATTTGATTAAAAGGAACTCTTCATTATCTCAAGAAGCAAACTTAACAATAACTTACTTGTCCAGGCTTCAGTGTAATTGAAAACTTTTGATCTTTGAGGGTAGTCAGTTGTTTCGGAGAGTACCAGGGTCAGAGTGGACAAATATTTCACCCCAGGACTGAGCCCTGTACTTGAAACTCTGAGAGCTGTCCCAGGCACATCATCCTTATTGTACTGCCCTTGTCCTTGTGAGCAAGTCTGCGGGTCAGAATGAGTGACCACCTGGTAGTTATTTACAAATCCTTGGGGGGTTACAGTCCAACTGAAGTCTATCCGGGATGTGCTCCTTGAGACTATCCTTGTCAGCACTGTAATATCGCCAACTGTAGGGAAAACAGAAGGAAAAAATTGATTCATATAATTACACATGCTTGAAGCTCGATGGGTCATAGTTCCAGACACAACATATGAAATACAAAAGAGTTCACTTGAAACAAACTCTGGTAAACAATGTTATATTGCATCAACTGACTATAATGGAAAATACACGGCAAACTCAACAAACCATCCACCAACAAACAGACTTTCTCTGTGATTAACATGTGTTCAATTTTCCTTTGACAGGAAATTTTCTCACAATTCTCTCTTCTTTTTGCAACTGTAATCGTTTCTTCCAGTCCTTTTATGGATAACTAATCTGCATACCCGTTCTATGAAAGGGAATATGTTTTCTTGACAAAAATTAATGTTGCGATGTAAATAAAAATGGCAATACTACAGTAATTTAAACAGTTATTTGATTAAAACAGGATGGTTCTATTCTATAGGCCTACCCTAAAAAAAAAGAATTTTCAAAAGTGAAACTCACCTAAGAATGGTGTATATCGTCCAAAACCTTTGGAGAATATACAACATTCCTGGTTTGACTGTTGAGTGCCAGGATGTGACATACTTACTTATTTACTTACTACCCGTTACGCCATCTGGCGTTTTGGGCAGCAACAAAGGATCCCCAGCTCTGTCTATTTTGAGCCCTCTTGGTAAACGTGCCAAGATGTGAACAGCATCTTTATCCCCAGTTCGGGACATTCCATATACAACATTCCATGTAAAAATACTGTGCATGCGATATCTAGGCCAACTGCACAAAGAGACTGTCCCTGAGCTTTATTATTTGTAATGGTAAAGCATGACTGTTGAAGCAAACGCCTTGTTAAGAGAAGAAGGTTTCCTTGTCTTGTGAAAAGATATAATTTATAGAACTGCAGTAGGGTTACTTTTTTGTTCATTTTCAGTTAGACTCCATCCGTCATTTCCTGTTGGGAACTGTAAGGGGTATTGCAGAGGATCGTATGCTGGGTGCAGTTCGCAGATTCGTTTTAGGCTGTTATTTGTTTAACACAATAGAATCACGATGCCAAACTGGTTCATTTGGCATAAGAAACTTCTTTACAGGACGGTGCATTGTAACGTCTCTCGTGCTCACCGAGTGATCTAGCATTTTCATGAATTGATTATGTTGGAATTTTGAAGTTCATTTTGAGTTGCGTATTGGTATGCATCCTTTATTTCTTTGATGTATTTGTTGTGTGTTTGTAGACTGTCTTGTAACATATTGGTTATAATACGTTTAAGACTGCAGCCATGTGTCATTGTTATTCAGGATTTTATTTGGTCCTCCGAGTCTAAAAAATAAACCTGCAGAAACTGTTAATTTTTATGTCCTGTTGCCAGTAATGAGCCAACCAAGTGATAAACCTACCCTTGCACACGGACATTTGGGTTCCATCCTTGCATATTGATCTTTTGACACCTAAAAGATCTCATTTGAAGGGGACAATCAAACTTTCTGATGTTGCTTATAAAATGCTCTGGGAGTCCTGGCAATCACCCATGAATCTAGATCTAGATCTATCACAGAGATACATCTGATTCTTCTAAGTCTAACTACCATAGAAAAGTAACTTTTAAAGTAACTCTCTGTAAGCGATCCGCAGCATCTCTGCTTTAAGTGTCCAAGCAAGATTTGTTTATTTCTTGCGGAAGAGCAATTTTTATATCATGGAAAACGAAATGGAAGTGAGAATAATCTATGTCTCGCTATTCTCACCCCCTCCCTTGTTTTACCGGAAATTACCCAAGAGGGATCAGGGCTGAGGTTACCGGGGCTAATGCTCCACAGGATCGTGTTGGTGTCCGAATAGATGTAGATCTAGCTCTAGTCACAGTCAGGGTTGTCAAATTGGAGCCAAATCCCAGTAATTTGGCTCTTTTTGGATCGCGTCTGGCCCGGAGAATTCCTTTTGGCTCTCTGGCTCTTTTCTGGCTCCAAACTCCAAGTGTTCAAGAAGAAGGGGACAGAAGAGGCAAGAGAAAAAAGGAAAAATAAAGAAGAAAAGAAGAAAAAATAAAAATGAAAAAAAGAGCTTGGATAGCTTAGAATTATTTAACTAAATTGCAGATAACACGATTTAACGCCCTCGCTCATTTGATCTGAATAATTTACAACCCTTTAACCGTCGTTCAAGAGCATAGTCTCGTGCTCGTGTCTCGTTACGTTCGTACATGCTCTCTGTTCCAGTGGGTCGTTGGCGGGTGCTCTGGTGTGGTTTGCTTCTTCTTTCCTATCAAACATCTGTCGTCCTTATCTCCCCTTCTTCTTTTTTATGTTTGTTACTCTCTTGTAACATCGTAAAACTAAACTAAACTAAGCTCTCTGTTCCTTGAACCATAGTGTGTAGAGAGGCCAGCCATCGTTAAGTGTGTAAACAACGAATGGTCCAGCCGGTGGTCGTTCCCACATTCCGTTCAGTAGCGTCAGTAGTGAGCCTTTTTTTTTACTGGAGAGGCGAAAAATGTTTTTACATTATTATTATTCGTTCCCAGCCACATGCGGTAAGCCACCAAGGACCTAGGTGATTTTATCAGCCTTCGAGAGGTCAGGGGGAGTCCTGGCCTCATGTCCACACCGGGGTGGGAGCTATTCTCACCAGGGGAGGGGGGATTGAAAATAGCGAGACATGGGTCCAGGGTGAGAATAAAGGTGGCCAAAAGAAATATTATGTCTTGATCACTGCATTGAAATGACGAACGGGAAAATCGTAAACAGCTGATAGTGTTTTCTATTTTTCTAATTTTTTTTTAGGCGAATGCAAACCCTTACTGAATTGATAGGAACTTAGCTTGGTCTTTGAACTACCTTCAACATTTTTTTAATGGTTCTACGTTCCGTAGTAGTTATATAAAACAACCATCCACAAATACGCAATTATTTATAGATTACTGGGTACCCCGTTCGATGAACGGACTCAAAATAATCAATCATCAAGCCAATGTGGATACAGTGCGCACTGCAAGTGAATGGAAGCCTCACTTGATTACAATTGTGAGTTAGAAGATTTGTTTATTTCCGAGGGAAGAGCAATTTTTTTTTCATGGAAAACGAAATATTATATGTCTTGAACACTGTATTGAAATAACGAACAGGAAAATCGTAAACGACAGATAGCGTTTTCCATTTTTCTCATTTATTAGGCGAATGCAAGCACTATCTGAATTGATAGAAACCTAGCCTAGTCTTTGAACTACTTTCAGTAATTTGTCATGGTTGTGCGTTCCGTAGTTGTTGTTTTTTCAGCTATACAAAACAGCCATCCACATGTACGCAATTATAATAATAGATAGCATTTGTATAGCGCATATCCCCGCTATTATATATTATATAGATGTAATAGTAGACGTTTCAAGTCAGTATAGCTCAACACAACTATGATAATATATACAGATGGTCATTAAAAACGCACCACTTACAAATCAATTCAAATACTGGTAGTGTGTTTATTTTTTAACAGATGATATACCATTGCAAAGTATGGTAATTTTCTGAATATTCACAGCTGAAATGAAATGAAACGGTTAAATGGCACGGCGAGCACAAAAGTCCGTTTTCAAAATACAGATTGATTTGTTTGGATTTTGTAAAGTGTTTTACGGCGCTCGCAACTGCATACGGTCATATGAGCGCGCGGGACACACCTAATATTTTCAGCTGGTAGGAAATTTTGAATTTTACCCGGGTGGCGGCCGAAGCCTACTCTTATCGATTTTAGACCACCAAGGGATCTTTAACGTGCACAACTTGCACACGGGCCCTCCGAGATTTTTTGCCCTTGTCCGAGAAGGCTAGGTGTAGATCTTTCCTACCAGAAGATCAGGGGTGTGGCAGAAAGACAGCAGTAAGGAGGAGCCAAGGAGTAGCAGTATAAAGGCTGCAGAAAGAGCCGGGAGCCCAGAGAAGGGGGCAAAGGAGATGAGGATTTTGTTTTGTTTTTGTAAAGCGTTTTACGGAGGTGAGGGGGTGAGGGCAGACAGTGGAAATGAAAGCAGACAACAGAACATTGCTAGAGAGCAGGAAAGGAGGTGAAAGTAGACAATTTTAGAGAAGAAAATTTTTGGTCGCTACCCGGATTCGAACCCGGGACCTTTTGAATGAGAGGCCAACACCTTACCCTGTAAGCCACGAGAGCCCCCCAAAATCAGAGCGGTTAATTGAGTTTTTAACTGGTTCCTCAGTATCGTGTATGTCCTCCATTGGCCTGAATACATGATTGGCAGCGTCTTCTCATGTAATTGACAAGATACTGAAAGAACACCTGTGGAATCAGTACACACTCATTTGTCAAAGAACGCCTCAGCTCTTGGAGAGTGTGCAGAGGACATCCTCGGGACAAACGGCGGTCGAGCACGCCCCACACATGCTCAATTGGTGTCATGTCAAGAGACAGTGATGGCCAAGGCAGGACATCAATGTTGTCTGCCTGCAGAAAAGCAGTGGTGGCTCGACCGGTGTGCGGGCGGGCGTTGTCGTGTTGGAATAACTCCAGCTCTGGGTGTTGACCAAATAATGGCACGAAGTGGTTCTGCAGAACCTGCTGGTACGTGTTGGCATTCACAGGCTGGTCGAAGAAGTACAGCGGTGTGTGTTAATCGTGGCTGAACGCTCCCCATACCATGCCCTGCCTCCTCCCCATCTATCGACCTCCAGCATGCAACAGTTGGCGTAACGCTCGCCGGGGAGTCTCCAGACCCTTCTTCTCCCGTCAGCATAAGAGAGGGAAACCGACTCTCGTCAGAAAAGACTACTGGGGTCATGTCAACAGCAAATGTTGCCTTGCCCACTGCAAACGTTATTGACAGGAGTCTCTGTGTCAGGACAGGACCAACGTACCGGCGTCTGGGTGCAAGTCCTGCTTCCCGCAAACAGCGTCGCACGGTCCATTCAGATACTGGTCCACGCCGATCAACCCCTTGACGACCTGTTTCCGGTGCCGGCAGGAAACAGTCACGAAGGTAACGTTGGCGAAGGTAATGGTCTTGCGCTGGTGATGTAACTCGTGGTTGGCTGCTCCGTCGACGGTCTGCTGTAGATCCAGTAGCTGTATTTCGTTGAGACGACCGGATAACAGTCGAGTGGCTACAGTTCATGCGCATGGCAACTTGCTGTGCTGCCATTCCAGCTTAGGGCATTCCAATGGCCCTTTCACGTTCTTGCATGGAAAGTCGTGACATTAAATACGCAGAAAAAAATCCGTCACACAGAGTAAAGTGTGTCAGTCTTTATAAAGGGCGAATATAATATCTCTCTAACAGCCATAAAATCTGTCTCGCTAAACAAAGTTTAGGTTTGAGGTCGACATATCGGAGTTTTGCGTGTTTTACGTGTGCATTGACAGTTTTGAAATGGGAACTCCATTTTTTTTATATTATGTTTGTATGATCGGTAACCTCTGTTATCTGTGAACTTTTGTCAACCTCAATTGATGTCACTGGATCAATTGTAGTACAAAATGTGCTCAATCCAAATTGTGCGCTTTTGATGACCGTCAGTATATATATAGATCAAGACCTATTGTACATGCCATCGCAGTTATCTTTGCTGTATTTTTGGTACAGGATATTTCCTTTCTTCGCGCTTGAAAGCAGAGCCATCCAGACTGGGATGGGGCATCTAAAGTCAGAACACAAGCCACTCAGAGAGGGACTTACATTTTGAAAATAAACAACACACTCAAAGTCAGACGAGGAACATGGTCTGTGAAAGTAGCTGACGTTGTTCTCATGAACCAACAGCTGACACACACACACACACACACACACACACACACACACACACACACACACACACACACAAACACACACAAACGCGCGCCAGCATTAATGTGCTGTTTACAAGTCAGCAAGAGTCACAAAGTCCTGAATGTGATTAGAAGAGTAAAAGTACGCCTGACTTTGTCTTACACATTTACACACCATGCACGGTACTTTAACTTAGGGACACCCTGAGGTCACCCCTCACCCGGCTCGTATGAGCTAAAATGTACGCCAGGGATATGCTGTACAGTCTAGACATATACTTATGTCCCTATAGATCTTCACACCAGAAACAATGCTGAAAATGTAAATAAATAAAGAAGTCGCTCGTGCTGTCTGTTGTTTTCGTAATCCTAACGCACTGGGCTAAAAATAGGTTTAGCTCGTCTGGCATGGTGGACGTTGATCTTTTTGAGGCGGTTCCACAGCAAGCAAAAACTTCGTACATTAGCCTTTTGATGGACGTGTAGACTAAACAAGCTAAAAATGTCCCCAGTCGTCTATATTTACAAGTGCTAACATTCTAAACATTCCTTTAGTACTCACCACTTCTGCAGGAATTTACGACCCAGTACGAACTACTTATAGGATCACACAGACATTTCGGTGCAAAGTTCTTGTTTGGAACACACGATAGTCCATATTGACAAGGATCTGTGAGGCCAGTACAGCCAGCTCCATGAGCCAGTCCTAAAGAAGACAAGGAGAAAAACAACCGGATACAACAACAAGGACACAAATAAAACACTAGTTTCACAAAAATCTCATCATAATTTTTTTTTACATACATTCTCACAAAGCAATGACTTCATTATACCAGCATCCCATCACTTTTTTAACACTTTGCCGTCACATCTTGCCGATCGGCATTTTCCCCAAAATGCCTTTGCCTTTGACGACAAGGGTTTTTACTATGGCAAGGTGTTAAGGATACAGAAAAGAATGTCACATCAAGATCGAACATCTCTTGTCGTTCCCACAACCAGCGAGGGTAGACATAGAAAAAAACTCTTCAAAGCTGGCAGAGACATGGAAACATTATATTCTAAAAAGACGATGAAATTTTCTTACAGAAAATCCTCAACACTGACACCGTCACGCTCAGTCTTCTCATTTAAAACTAACTGAACAGGGGCGAAGCGTCTATATAATCAAATAATCACTGCTTCCCTTTCTAATTTTGAAACATTGTCACTGTCAAATTCATCCTTAAACGTAAACCTCATAAATTAAATGTCAAAACACGTTCGTAATCAACAAATAAAGTGAGGCTGGAATAGAGTTGAAGGGAACATTTGCATGGCAGTCAAAGCTGTTTCATTGCCACATATACCCTGTTCACCCCTTTGGGGCCACAGTTAAAATCAATCACAAGCCCTGATTAAGTAAGCTAACTAACACTGGTCGAGTCTACCTCACAAATGTGAGGGGAACTAACTCTTGATAATCTCTTGACTGCTGCTTGTGCTTGTTTTTTTTCCTCGACTTTTTACCGTCCTATAATCAGATCGTGACCTCGATTATGACACCAGCTCCTGGCCGCGAAAGGCTAACGAAAACAGCCAAATGTGAAATTTAAAAAATAATAATTGTCATGTTCTACCAAAGAGTTAGACTCACTGGTAGATCTATAACATATAGATCTAGTACTGACATCTCTGCTTCTTTGCTTTATGTTTATGTATTCCGCCCCGAGTAAGATTCTTGTGTGATATCTACAGGCCCTATCTGGTCCCATTTCACTTTGATTACCCTGTCAAACAAGTCAGCCTTCGCCCCTGCAACTGAAACTAGTGAAACAACATTTCTCCCAACCTGTCTCATCCAGTTTCATTCCTTGAAGTGTTTTCAGCTTGAACCACCTTTTGAGTCTCATATCTAGTCCCACATCATTCCTTAAAGTGTTCCCAGCCTACACCACTTTCTGAGTCTCATTTCTCTCCCATATCATTCCTTAAAGTGTTTCCAGGTTACATCACTTTATGAGTCTTATTTCTCGACCCATGCCTTCTTTCTATGATGAAAACCTGTGAACTGTTTTGTCCTACCTAGCAGTGTGATACAGAACCAACACATCATAAAACACGGTAAGGTTATCTTAGAGGCAGGACCTCAAACTTCACATCAATCTCTGAAGGAATCTCACTCGACAGAAGAAAAGACGTTAAGACTTTCATAACATCTCAGTCTAACCACGTGATGATTACGATCCGAAGGCTTTTTCTAAGTCGAAAAAAAATAGCCACAAGGTGCTCTTTTTGAATGAAAGCTTCCCGGATAAAAGTTTCAAGTCGGACGAGATGGTCAATTGTAGAGCGATTTTTGCGAAAACCGCATTGGAAATTGGACAAGGATTTTGAGGTTTCGAGAAACCACATTAGACGTTTGTAAATAAGTTTTTCCATAGGTTTGCAGAAACAGTTTGTAAGGGCTATGGGACTTTAGTTTGATGGGTTAGGGTTATCTTTTCCTGGTTTTGGGATTGGTATAATGGTGGCAAGACGCCAACTGTTCGGAATTTGTTGAGAATGCCAGAGTTCATTGTAAATATCAAAGAGTAATAGGAGTGTTTCGTCAGGAAGACGTTTGATGATTTCGTTGAGTATTTGATCAGGGCCTGGAGCTGTGTTTGATAGTTCTGCAATATTACATTTTAATTCATTAAGAGAAAAGCTACAATTATAGTTTTCTTCATTTGAAGAGGTAAAATCAACAGTTGTCTTTTCAGAAGACATTTTTACTTTTTTGAATTCAGGGTTGTAATTGTGGGTAGAGGAATTTCCGGAAAGAGTTGATGCAATACAGTCAGCTACTGTTTTTTCGGTTTCTACGAAGGAGTTATTCGGTTTTAGGATGTGTTTGATTGTGTCTTTTTTAGTACCTTTTAATTTTTTTATCATCTTCCAGACTTTGTGCATTGGTGTGTTGTTGTTTATTTTAGAGACATAATTTTGAAAAGATGTTTTTTTGGCTGTTCTGATTATTCTGCGTGCTTGGGCTCGCGCAGTTTTGAAATTGATGAGGTCTTCGTTTGTTTTAGAGTTGACGAACTTCCTGAGAGCTGATTTTTTTTTCCGCAACAGCTTTTTGGCAGTCTTTAGTGAACCAACATTTATTTTTTCGTGGTTTGGTGGACAATTTTGGTATGTGTTTTTGAACGATTTCGAAAAGGGTTTCATGACATCGCTCAAAAGTTTATGTTTGTGTTTGTGATGGATTGAGCTTCTCCAGACATTCCATGTGAAACCCATCCCAGTCCGCTCTTTTAAGATTGAAACGGTCCGGGATAGGAGTTCGGTGTGGAATGTTTGGAATTAGGTTGATGGGGAAGTGATCCGATCCGTGTGGGTCGTCCAGGACCGACCACTGAAAGTCTAGAATTAGGTCAGGATCACATAGGGTTAAATCTATGAATGAAAAGTTTAGGTTATTTGAATTTTGAAATGTTGGGGAATTGTCGTTAAAAATACTAGTATTGGTTTTTGTTAAGAAATCTTCTATGATTTTACCTTTAGTGTCAGTTGGTTCATTTCCCCCAAAGAGGGCTATGGGCATTAAAATCTCCCAACATGATTAAGGGTTGTGGGAGCTGGTCTCTGAGGTTTATTAGTTCTCTTAAAGATAGAGGATAATTTGGAGGGATGTATATTGAACAGATGGTTATAGGACAGTGTAGGGTGACCCTGACCGCAACTGCTTGAAGTGTTGTGTTTAGTTGTATTTGTCTGTGTAGTGTTTGGTTATTTATTAAAATGGAGTTGCCCCCAGAGGCGATTTGGTTTTTGGTGTATATTTGGTTGTAAGTTTGATAGTTTTTCAATGTGAATGTGGGTGTTGGCAATTTAGTTTCTTGTAGACAGATTACATTTGGGGTGTGTGAGGTCAAAAGATAAGAGAGTTCTGCCTGGTTTGCACGCAAACCGCGAATGTTCCACTGAAGAACTGCGATTTTTATTTATTTTGAGGGCACGGGTTCGGTACATTTTTGGGTGGTCGTTGGTGACTTTCGTCTTTGTTTTGTTTTGCTGCGGTCACGGTGGACCGCAGCTTTTTTTTAAGGAGAGTGTGGAGGGGGAGGAGGACCGGAGTCCCGGCAGGGACTTGTTGGGAATTGGGGTAGGGGGAGAAATTTTTGATTTTATATCCATATGCATTACGTTTTTGTTCATCTCCAGGGCTCAATACCCTCCACCGACTCCAACAAGGGGACACCGCTCGGAAGTCCTTAGCTGGTGTCAGGGCTACCCTGGAGGTATACTCCCAATCAGACGGCAAGAGATCTTGCCTTCTAACCAAGATTGGCCAAAAACCGGTTCTATGAACCGGTAGCAACCGATTAAGTGCAGTAGGCCACTGCACCCGCCCGTCTAAACCGAATCCAGGGCCAAAGTGGCGTGTTGGTGAGGGAAGCCACACCTCAGCCACCAGGATCCCCTTCTCCGGTCGTACGGGTCGCACCCCACGGTCAACAGGGTGCCTCGCGTTTCGGGGATTTGGGGTCTATTCTTTGCTGGACCGGACCTTCGGTCGACAGAACGGAAAGAAAGATAGATGGATAGAAGACATAGCAAGAGCGGACAAAAGATGCCACCCCTACATCAGAGAGCTAGTGACGTACGAGTGGCATCCCACCAGCGGGGAGGGGGGGTAACACTCCCTGTTGATGGGACAGCCAACTATTTTTATTTTATTCCCCGGTCAGCTCGGGGAAGGACGAAAGAAGAAGGAAGAAAGACGATGGAAGACAGACGATACACCAAAGCAAGTGTCGCCCATGTGCACCTGAGTGTATATGTCCATGGGCGACAAATCGCCAGTGAAGGGGTTGCACCTCCTGCTGGCGGGGCAGTGGGTCTACTTATATCCCCCGACCCACTGGGGGTAGCTCAGAGCGCTGTGACTCCGCTTATGTGCCAAGTATTTGTTTGTTGTTGTTGTTTTTGGTTTTTTTGTAAGTGTTTTACGGCGCTCGCGGCTGCATAAGGTTATAAGGACACATGAACCATTTTTAGCTGGTAGGAAATTTTGAATTTTGCACGGGTGGCGGCCGAAGCCTACTCTTATCGATTTGGGACCACTAATAGATCTTCAACGTGCACCACTTGCACACGGGACTTCCGAGATTTTTTGCCCTTGTCCGAGAAGGCTAGGAGTAGATCTTTCCTATTATAAGATCAGGGGTGTGGCTGAAAGACAGCAGTAAGAAGGAGCCAAGGAGAAGCAGTAGAAAGGCTGCAGAAAGAGTCAGGAGCCCAGAGGTGGGGGCAAAAGGGGTGAGGGGGTGGGGGCAGAAAGCGGAGATGAAAGCAGAGACAGAACATTGTTAGAGAGCACGAAAGGATGTGAAATGAGAAAATTTTTAGAGAAGAAACGTTTCTGTCGCTACCATGATTCGAACCCGGGACCTATTGAAAGAGGGGCGAACACCTTAACCTCTAGGCCACGAGAGCCCTCGCGCCGTGTGTACACGGCCTACTGTTTACTTATGCCCCATATGCAGCTTTTTCTTTGCTTCAGTCAGAATCTTTACATTTTCAACATGTCTTTCTCGTACTTGGCAAGAATATTTGAGACTCAAAGAAAATCAGATTTTCGTAATTTCACTAAAATCTCGTTTTAGATGTTGAATTTACTTTAGTTTCCATGTTTTGTAGTTGTTAACTCACAACAGCAAACCTTGAGTATCCCCCTCATACAAATATACAGGACTTTTCCAGGTTTGTATTATGTGTTGCAGCTACTGCTCTAAGCTAAAAAAAAATAAAAAAACGCCTGCCAAATAGTCAAACCACCTGTAAATAGGATTTCCTCTTTTTCAGAGTGCAGTTCAGACAAGAACCCTGATCCTATCTTCCCCAGGAAATTCCTTTTTACTTTTACTGGTCAAAAAAATCTTGGCTCCTATTATATTCTGCCACTTGCTCCAAGGTCCACCATTTTTTGTTAGAAGTTCCTTCATGGACACCACAAAAATCCCTTTTGCAAGTCAAAATAAACAGGACCTGTGAGCTTACTGCAAAGTTTCTGACCCCCACCAATGGAGACAAAAAATGTTGATCGATTCCACAACAATAGGCTCTCATTTGTTACAGAGAAATGGTATGATGAAGTTTCACGCTCGAGGCTTCACTTGTCAAAAGAGCAGATGAGGACGATTATCATTTAACACAGCAGCACCACAGAGCAGTGACCTATGCTCACTGACCTTCTCTATTTCTCTTACAGCATTGGCAAAGAAGACCTAATATTTATTTTCCAGAACTGAAGATTACACCTACAACACAAAAACCACTAGATCTACATCAAATGAAATCTTAGATAGTCGTACTTACTGTCCATACACTGATTACTGCCAAAATGGAACTGGCCAGAAGGACACAGACACAGATTTCCTCCACCAGACATCACACACTGAACATCTCCATTACAACTGCCAGCTGCTGTACAGCCACTTCCATAGTTGTATTCTGGGTCAGGGCGAAATGGTGTGGGTGTGGGGGTTGGGGGGGGGGGCAAAATAAAAAAAGATTGTATATAAGAATAGAAATATTATACACACAATAGACAAAAAAATTGGTTACAATCACCCCACACAAACAATCAGGATTATTGTAACTACATGAACAGTTCAACTAACTCCAACATTTATTCATCAGTACGCGTGTGTGTGTGTGTTTGTGTGTGTGTGTGTGTGTGTGTGTGTGTGTGTGTGTGTGTGTGTGTGTGTGCGTGTGTTTGTTGTTTTGATGTTTTGTTATTTTATTTTGTTTTTGGGGGGAGGGGATGACTTTATGGGAGGGACATAATTCTATAATGCTAGGGATAGAAAGTGTGCAAAAAGTGTTGCTAACCTTCACAGTAGACTAACCTTGGTATATCTACCAGATGTCGTAAAAATTAACAGAGCCCTGATGTAGAACTATGTGGCACAGACATGAATCAAGAACAGGTGAGGCTTGTGAACCACACAGGCTTGGGTGATTTCTTTTTTATGTAGTCATATGTAGGAAAACTGGGAGAAGATGTGGTTGAATTCTGTGATGTTAGAAATTCACTTGTAAACGTGGTGTCCATAAGCACAACTTTATAGCAGTTCTCTTCTCAGGAAAAGATGAATTCTGTCATTCTGTTAACTTGCAGTAATGTGTGTGAAGATAGCTCACCTTGTTGTGTCCATGACCGTCCATCTAGTTCTCTTTGATAGTTAAAATTATTTTTCTAGTACTGAAGATGATAATAATAATAATAA